TAGTCTATTGTAAATGAATACTATTAACTTAATCAAAATTACTTTGTTAAGTCTTATAAAGTTCGCGAAAAAACTTGTTAGTTAAAACTCATTTTATTTATTTGGTATAACTTTTTATAACTTATACAAAGTAACAAGATATAAGACTGTCAGTTCGTAAGTTTCACGTTAACATATTGAATGGAATGCCTCCAGCGAAATTTCGAGCAAAACATCAACAAGTTACAATACGTTTTAGGTAGATTTTTATCTTTAGACAAGTTTATTTCGTAGTGAAGTTTGAGATAAGCCTATAAAATAATGAAAATTTTATTTATTTATCCATTTATTTATTTAGCAAGCAAGCACTCATAACACTCTTATATGACGTTATCAAAAAGACATACACATTTTTATACTCCCTAATATGATGCATATCAATAACAACGGTAGGTACATAACATTCAAAGACTAAGTCATGCAACTTACTTACTTCCCGCTGGGTTTCTTGCTGGATCTTACCAGGGCAGAGGTTTTTTTCGAACCAGTGGTAAAGTGTTTCAATAAGAATTAGTTAAAGTTACAGCCTATGTAACTGACGTCACACTGCTGGGCACAGGCCTCCTCTAATTTTTGAGAGGGTTTTAGGTCAAGGAATTGTTCGCCGCGCTTCCCCCATGCGTGTTGGCGAACTTCCTCGCGATGTCTTCCTGCACCGCCGAGCACGTGGTAATAAGAATCACATGTTATATATCTATAATATAAAAATGAATCGCTGAATGTTTTGCTAAGCGCAAATCTCGAGAGCAGCTGAACTGATTTCGCTAATTCTTTTTTTATAATATTCCTTGAAGTACGAAGATGGTTCTTACGGAGAGAAAAAATTTAAAATTGCGGCGGTTTAAGAATGTTCATTACCCCATAATATCCTCCCGTGGGTGTCGTAAGACGACACAGGGAAACTGAAACTGTATATGAACAGCAACACCTTCCTGATAACACTTCAAAGTTCTTAATTAAAAAAAACTGCTTTTGCTTCTGTTTCTGTTTCTGTTATGGTAACAGCAGGTTTAAGTATTGTTACTAAACTACTCTCTATTCTCACAAACTCCTTTTCGTAACATTTTTTTTATAACATTCATTATCATCATCATCATATCATTCCACTACGGTAAATAGGCCTCTCCTGTTAGGCAGGGCTTGACGTCCCGACGCCCATAATTATGACACGATGCCGCCCTCTATCGGTACTCACAAGATTTTACGAGCTTTTCCTTAAGACCTCTCTTGCGGCACCACAGGATGAGGTGAAGTTATATACTACGTGTTCTCTTACTTTCTTTTTTATTTTATTTTAATATTGGCAAAAAGCAGTTTACAAAACACTAAATTTATACTAGGACTACATAAAGTGTAACCCACTCAAATTTCACAAAGTAATATAATGTATGTACCTTAACCTTATGTTTAACACAGTTGCGAAATTTGTGAATGAGCAGGAAATTATGCTGATTACTGCATAATTAATAAGCCATTACAGTCAGTCAGCGACTTTGTTATCATTGTTTTGAACTTCGTAGATGACAAAGCAAAAGTATCACGGTCTATGAAATGTGTTATAATTATTTATGAAGCCACGGAATGTTGGCACTTTGGCAATTACCATGATAGAGAAGTTGCGTTTAAAATTTAAAGTTTATTGGTTTCTAGAATATTATGTAAACACTAGCTTGCTCACTCTAAGGTAAATATATAAAGCATGCTATATAATTTGTTGCACACTTTTTATTTTTATTTTTTTATTTTTCTACTTTTATCAACAAAAACTATCCGCAGTTTAGTTTACTGAATTCTAACAAATGAATACAAAATTAATATAAAAGTTATTATTTAAATTTGAAAGAAACATTAAACCTTACATTTTTCTAACAAATTAGCTTTCCCGCCATTAAATCTATGAAATATTTCTCCCTATTTCTAAGTGGCGGTGCTCCGGTGGCAGAAAAATTCGTGGATTACATTATCCCGATACACTTGTTGGTAATATAACTATAACCTGTCGGAAATATCTGCGAACCTGGCTTGATGACGTCATGCAATATGGAGAGATGGCAACGGTACTGGATAGACGATAACGGGCGGAAATATCTGCGAACCTGGCTTGATGACGTCATGCAATATGGAGAGATGGCAACGGTACTGGATAGACGATAACGGGCGGAAATATCTGCGAACCTGGCTTGATGACGTCATGCAATATGGAGAGATGGCAACGGTACTGGATAGACGATAACGGGCGGAGGTGCGGGGAAGCGCGAGGGGAAGCGCATTCCAGCGAGGTTCGCAGATATTTCCGACAGGTTATACAGTCAAACCTGTTTTTATTTTTTGCACATATAGCCATGATGTATCCCAACACAAACAACAAATAAATGCACAACCCATCTATAGCATCATAGCCATAATAACAGAGCGTCTCTAGACTCCAAAAAAATTGTGATAATTTGAAAAACCACGCCGGGTTTCTTGCTGGTTTCAAGGCAGAGGTTTTTCCGGACCTATGTTAAAGGTACGAAATGACCCTAAATATATATTTACGATCTATGTTAAATAAAAATATATATATATATTTTCTTAGCCTAATATAATGTTGCGCGCCACTATTAATGTCTTGTACATGGCAACACTAGTTACCACTAGCGCCCCCTAGTATCGAGTAGCAGAACTAGGAGAGTTAAGATCCTTCTAGAAATTTCGGGACCTATATGTACTCGAACATACTAGATGTTTCTACAGTAGAACTATCTGTAGACTATCTGAGGACCTATATAAGGCCGGTGTAGACCACGACCGAGTCAGTATTGAATTGGCGATACAAGCGAATACTTCGAAGCAAAATAACTGCGAACTAAAGTGATCAGTAGTACAATTGTGTTTTATAATTAGTGTGGTTTTAAATTGTAATTAGTGTTCTGTAATTAAAGTGGCAATTTTGGTAATTCAATCGGCAGTTTTTAATTGTCTCGAACCCCAAGCATGTAACAATATTCTTTGTCGCCACCACTTAGCAAACATACGAATAAGTTAATACACATCACTAGAACTCTTATTACAACTTAAGATCTCACAGTCTCACAGTATGCAGCTTAGGAATTAATAGAATCAGGCGTTACTTTGCGGAAATCCATTATATAAAAGCTTTTACAAAAATTTACTTCGCAAATATCCGCGTTATAAAATAAAATGATGTGTCTTACCTAGTATGAAGAAGCACCTCCCGCCCTCCCTCAATTGCGTGCACTAACCCCGTCACCACTAATCCCAGCACCGCTACTCCCAACACCACTACACTAGGCAAGACACACCACTGACGATAATTATCGGGTTAGTGCACGCAATTGAGGGAGGGCGGGAGGTGCTTCTTCATACTAGGTAAGACACATCATTTTATTTTATAACGCGGATATTTGCGAAGTAAATTTTTGTAAAAGCTTTTAGCTTAGGAATTATTAAATCAAATTCCTGTCTCAAGTTTGCTTCAAGTTTTGACAAATTACTGGTCTCAGTTAACAAGTCAAGCCGTTGATTGGTATACTCTATAACTTTGAAGCAAGATAAGTAATTAATACAGATAATTTAAACATGATACTCTCTTCATATTTATTTTATGATGAAGGTTAGTTCTTCATCATTCGATTGTAATTTTCTACGCTTTTTTAAGGTAATATAACGAATTAGAAATAGAGGCCTGAAAATCTATAGAAATAAATAAAATTAGAGTGATTGTTTGTAATGTCAAAATGTCAGCTTTTTACTGCAGTTAGCCGACCCCTTTCGTGTTGTAGCCACAATTCGGCTACAGCGTGTCTCTGTGACGTAAAAAGTTTATCAAATTATAGAAGTTTTTAATAAATTTTAAATCAGATATTACCAACTTCGCAAGCGGGATTTATATATCTATATATAACGCTTCCAAAATAATTTAATTCGGCATTAGCGCTACCACCGCGCCAAATTACACTAACCTTATTACTTGGCCCACGTAATGGAAAATTCAACAGTGAAGCGATCCATATTTTATGATTGAACTCAGCGAACCGATTAATACATTCCACTGTGCCGATTTCTGTATTTTATTGCTCTTAATATTCATTTACTGTTTGCTAGCGTCTGCTTGTGGCTTCGCCTGTTTCACAGATAAACTAATAGTTACTATGTAACCTGTGTGCGAACAAAAACGCTGTCATGACTAGGAAAAGTTTCCTGCATAATAACTTTTCTTTACTCTTAGGAAAAAAATTCATGAGTATAAAACAATTTTACCAAGATTAAAAAATATACTTATAGCACTTAAAATTTCAATTGTTAATTTACCACATGGTCGACGGTGAAGGAAAACATTGTGGGTAAACCTGCTCCTGGAAACTCCCAGAGTATCTACGCAAGTAGCTAGTAGCATCCCACACACGGGCTATCTTTTTCTTATTTTTTAAAAAAACGTTACCACCACACTAAGATTTGCTCCTGTATCGTGGAGGCAGTTTACAAACACAAATTGCACAAGGATAAACATCCAGACCCAGAACAATTATTTGTAGGCCATACAAATACTTGTTCGGTGCGGGATACGAACCCGCGGCCCCAGCGCAGTAACATATTGCTAAGCCACTGCGCCACAGAGCCGTTAAATTTATCTCTCTCCCAAGAAACCTTCGGGTCTCTTGTCATTGTCACTAAATTTTCCACAAGGTTCTAAAACCGAGGGAACGTTTATAGAAACAAGAGCTATTCGGATGAAATGAAATTTTGTTTAAATTTTTGTTTATTAAAATTTTGTTTTAAGTTACGTTTAAGTTAAATTTTTGTTTAAGCAACTTTAAATTTAGGTTAACCAACACCTATATATTATGATAATATATTTTTTAAAATTCACAGTTTTGAGAAATTCATTCTGCTTTAATATCGATTAAAAAAAATATTTCTCTTTGTAGGAATTTATTATAATGAACATATTTTTCCAGTGGTCCCAATCACCAGTGAGTGTCGCAGGCAGTGCAGCAGAGTCGCCACCGGAAGGCTTCCGCCGAGCAGCTAGAGGTTCTTTCTCTGCCATTCTGGATTTGCTCACAGCTACGGCCAACGTGGATTACCATCAGGTACTGTTTTCAGTTCAGACCATCTTTACTTACTACAGCCCTGGTAGGTCATGGGCTAAGCACGTGCTTGCTTTTGCTTTAATTAATTTTAAAATATGATTTACCGCCGGGTTTGCGGTGAAACAAAAAACCAAAATAAAGACACTTGCATAACAGGCAGAAATAAAAAAAAAAAGAAATTTTCTGTGATGTTTACCAATTTATAATGAAGCAAAGCAGTATAGATCATCGATATGTATGTACTACGCACTAGATTTCGCATTCAGAACATGCACTATGTTCAACTGAACTGTACTGCAATCCGTACAGTGTGTCATTTAGTGTGGTTTCAATCTATTAGTTAGTCTGTGGTGGCGCAACTGCGTATGGGCGACTCTACTATCTCCCGCGTATGCGCGAATATATAGAGTAGCGCACATTTACTGTTTAGAATGGCTTCTCTAGTACGTAGTACATATAACTGTATTGTAAGTAATGAGAATCAGAGACCCTTTTACTTCTAAAGTAGTATTCCATATTGCTCCTACATACGGCTCCCCGTTGTAGCTCAAGGGCTAAGCGCTCGCCGTAAATTCCACTTAAAATTGCAATTAACAATTTCATTGATGTTGGGATCGAATCCGGGTTCTGTGCCTACTGTGAAAATTTACGCCAAGCACTTAGCCTATAGATTAAAATGTTTACTTTGGAACAAGTTATATATTATTCAACAATTTTGTTTTTAAAAATCAAGTCCGTAAGCATGTGAAAACATCGTTGCAAGTTTGAACTAACACAGTTCTTATTTTCATTTACTGAATTATGTATATTTCATATTTGTTCTGACATAGATAATATTTATAAGTATTGTGTATATATGTACTGCATGCATGCATGTATATGTGTATGTATATATTTATATATTTTGTGTGTACTTAAGTATATATGTGTATGCATGTGTCTGTATATGTATATTTATATATACAATACATTTTTTAATTTTTTTTAGCCCCTTCTGTTTTGATTACTGCTGCACCGCCTCTTCTTTGTCTATCTCTGTTTAGTCTAATGGTTGACTGGGAGCGAATGCCCTATTGCATTAAGTCCGCCAAATGTACAACTTTGTGCATGAAAGGTTAAATAAATTGACGGCTCCGTGGCGCAGTGGCTTAACAATGAGTTGCTACGCTGGGGGGCGCGGGTTTGAATCTCGTACGGAACAAGTATTTGTATGGCCTACAAATAATTGTTCCGAGTCTGGATGTTTGTCCTTGTGCAATTTGTGTTTGTAAACTGCCTCCATGATACAGGAGAAAATTCTAGTGTGGGGGTAACGTTTTTTAAAAGAAAAAACAAATAAATAAAAAATTATCCTGAGCTACCTTGGTTACTTAATGTCTACATTAGACATTAGCAACATACAGGGTTATTTTTCAGAAAATAGCCAAATTTTAAAGTTACGTTCAAATATGTAAATAATAATATACCGTTATTGCAGTTTTTGATAATACGAGTAAATAAGGCTTCTACTTTTATTTGAAAATATCCCAAATTTAATGTGATTTATGGGCAAACACGTTTTTGCCTACCGACCCTTATGAATGTGTGCGTGCGCAGTAAAACCAGTTAAAATAATGTATTACCACGCATTTTGAATTCAAAACATAAAAAGGACAGAATTATTGAAATATTTTAAATTAATTTTTCTTCACCATTTGCCTGTATTACTTATTCTGAACCTACTCTGCAAATTTGGCCGGTTATTGCAAAATAGCCCTGTGTAACTAAAACAAACGAACGAACAGGTTATTGGTTTTGAGTTGAAGAGCAAACGGAAGTAGTCTGATATTGTACATTGGAGCGCCAATATCCTCTCACCGACGACAATTTCCCGCTTCCTGTTATAACTAACTAAACAGAACTTACTCTAGAAGCTTCAGCATGTTTGCTCAGTATTACGTGACCTACATGTATCTATTAGACAGAAAAAATAAAAATAATAAAAACATTACGTTATAATTTGATGAAGAATGTCCACTACCTTACATCATCGCGTTGGTGCCGTAAGGGGCGACAGAGGGAAACCAATCACGAGAAAGACAGCAGCGTCTTCCCAATAACGACTTAAAAATAAAAAAAACGGGGACTCCTATATGTTCAGCAGTGGACTATGACAGGCTGTAATGAATGAATACGTACCTATACACTGCTATAGGTACGTGGTAAACCTATATTATTGGATGCATTATATATACTTAGAGTTGCCCGACGTACTTTTTATCATACCCTAAAATTGATCTTGTCCCTTAATTTAAAATCTTTAATAAAAGACAAGGTAATATCGCGCGTATTCGACATTCCCTCTCCTAGTTGAGGTCAAAGAACTTAAAAATCACGTTGAGGTGACGCGCGATATTAGGCGCTGCACAAACCTTGTATCCCACACAGACACTTCTGTGTCTTGTGTGGGATATAAGCTACCAATGGATATTTTATTTTCATGTAATCAATATGAAATCAGCCATCCCTTACGCAGATGCAGACACTGTTTGTATGCAGTTCCTTCCACTTGACATACACCGACCGCCAATCAAAGTGTTCGGTGCAGGTAACTAGAAACTTTAAGTCGTCAGAAGACACAAGCAACACAAAGCAAATTTCCTTAAAATTTACGGCGCTGACATTGAATTGGTTGATTTGCCTGTAAATATTGACGACGACGATGTCTATGTCAACGTGTTATCAACACAACAAGCAATGGTAATGTTCCTCCATCGACATCCAAGGTGAAACTGATGGAAAACAAACAACGAATTGTTACTACTTACTGGTGTCCAGGAGTAGCAACCGGCAGCTGTGTCCGATCGCCGCTACCGGACACAGCAACTACGGTTTCTAGCGATGGTGTGCCGTGTCGGTAACAAAAAGTGTACACGTTTGCGCAGCGCTTTAGGGAAACAAATTATGTTACATTGCGTAGGTACATTGCTTTTTTTATTAATAAATGTCGCTAACATAACAATATGTTATTGAAAACAATATGATATCCTCTATTCTTAAAATCTTATGTCCTTTATTTAACCAAATCCTTAAAATATAAAACGGGAGCTGGCAACCATTATTTTACTCCTAAGGTCGGCCACATACATACGGAATTCCGTTTCGGAATCCCAATTCGGGATTCCGTTAATACATCACACACATACGTTTTTTTCCGTTCGGAATAACAAGGGTCAGTTGGGAGACGTTAGGCATTGAGTCTAGACATTCTGCCAGCGAATAATGACGACGATTTTCTAATTGCGATTTCATTGTTGCTGTGTCATTCTTACTAGGTACATCCCCTTATCACCCTAAGCTTGCAATATTTTTTTTTTTTTTTTTTTTTTTTTTTTTTTTTTTTATTTCAAACAAAAGTTTATAGTCAATACTATGTAAAAAGATCTATCTATCCAGAGATATTTTTTAAATATATTTATGTATGTAAATTCTTACGACGAATTATTAAATAAAATAAAATGAAAGGTTACGAAAAGCTATACACCTACAAGATTAAATGTAAAAACATACATAAAGACACCTACTCGCTTCGGTCGTGCAACGACCACTGAGGAGCGCGTTCCATACGGAATTTACGTATGTGTGTTGCGACTCGTACAAAATCTATGGAAGACTTGCGTTCGGACTTCGGAGCGACATTTTTCCGTTCGAGATCCCGAACGCACAGGCGGTCATTACGGAATCTCGAATCGGAGAAATTCCGTACGGAAAAACACCATACGTTTGTGGCGGGTCATTGATTTAATATGGACTTGCTGCGTTCGGAATTCCGAATCGGAATATCGAAACGGAATCCCGAAACGGAATTCCGTATGTATGTGGCCGGCCTTATGCAGGTCATGTTTTCTGAGTGAAGCAGTAAAATTGTTAATATCCTGTCGCCAACATCGATTTCCGATTATATACGTACCTAAGCGTTGAGTTACAGTTTTAAAAGTGTGCATTGCGTATTATGTAGGCTTCTTCGTTTGAAGTTTGTTGCATGTTGCCCGCGATAGCCGGGACGTCCCGTTTCTAGAGCATTAACTGATGCGAAAGATGTATACGGGGCGCCAATTGTCCCGTTATTATATACTAGTAATCCGCCGTTGATTTCTGGATCTCGACAATAACGCCACCTACCGGTTCCAATTGTGAACCTAAACACATACAAAATTTCATTAAAATCGGTCCAGCTGTTTAGGAGGAGTTCAGTCACATGAATACGGACAGAAGAAGTATATAATACATAATATGCATGTATTGTACATATAAACTTTTCCCTTAAATCATTCTGTCTATTGATGAAACTGTATTAAAATCCGTTGTATTGTTTAAAAGATCTAAGCGTACAGACGGCGGGAAGCGACTTTGTTTTATACTATTTAGAGATATAAGAGAGAGACAACGAAATTTTCAACAAAAGTATCTAGAAGTGGTTTTGTTTACTACTCAACTAAAACCTATGCAAATAAAGATTAAAAAATTAAAACAATATAATAAAGAAGTCATAATAATGAAGTTCCCAAAGGACTCTATCCGCGACTGGACGTTTATTCTTTTTTTTTATAGGAGAGGGGGCAAACGAGCATGCGGCTCACCTGATGGTAAGTGACTACCGCCGCCCATGAACAACTGCAACACCAGGGGAATTGCAGATGCGTTGTCGGCCTTTTAAAAAGGAGTAGGCTCTTTTCTTGAAGGTCCCTAAGTAGTATCGGTTCGGAAAAATCGCTGGTGGTAAAACTATTCCACAAGGAAGTTGTGCGAGGAAGAAAACATCTTCTAAATCGCACAGTGGTGGACCGCCAATCATCTAGATGGTGTGGATGGTATCGGGAGTTCTGCCGCGATGTGCGCTCGTGAAATTTGGCGGCTGGGATTAATCCGAACAATTCCTCAGAGCACTCCCCGTGGTAAATGCGAAAGAAAATGCAAAGAGATGCAACATCTCTTCGCAGCGCCAATGAGTCGAGCCGATC